TGTGTGGATGTCCACTGTGTGTGTGGAATGTGTCCTCCATCTCTTCATCCCCCGCCTCCAGATGTGAGTCTCCATGATCCAGCTGCGTATGTAACTCTTGCCTCCCCATCCATCCATCTGCTTTTCCTCGCTGCTCAGCTCTTTATAGTGAACACCCTGAGCTTCTTGGTCGCTGCCAGTTTTCATCAGAGTCCAGTTCATCCGATGCCATTTTCTCTGTGTATGTTGTCTGTTTTCATTTCCATGCTTGCTCAGGTCAGCTCCCTGAAGCCATGCAAGGACTCGGCAGAGAATCCTTTACAAGGAAGGGAAAGCAGTGGTAGGTACGGGTCAGAAATCCAATTTCAAGATTAGCAGCACCCTGCACGATTACTGGGTTATTATTGCCTGGGGCTTCTTCCTATGGAACCTTTGCTTAATAGGAATATAGTTTGGGTGGTTATCTTTTTGATTGACAGACTAGGTCTCCCATGTCCCTTCCCATTATATATCTGAGTTTAAACATGCACACCTAGTCGTACACAGCCATAGGATGGTAAATAAGATTCCCTCTAAAAGTTCACTTGGAGGACACAGTTTGCCTGATTGTGTCTCATCCCAAACCAGTGTAAGCCAGATCAGCCTCCATCCAGAGGTAAGCTGAGTAAGACACGATAGAATCCAAGTGGAATGGTCCTTAAGGGGAGAAGAACATACTCCATGGTTCAGAGTGGAGCGTGCTGTGCATGCATAGTGCATGCAGGTGAGGGGCTTGGGTTGCCAAGTGCATTATTGCAAGAGCTGTGTGTGTGAATAACCGGAAGCAAGCAGAGTCTGCGATTCTCCAGGTTTGACTGCCTCCGCTACATACAAAGATAATCCCAACGAATAAACAAATATCCAATGCAATGGTAATTGTGTGGCGCAGGCTCACAGGTTACTTAACTAGTATCTTAAACAAGTTGTGGGGCCTGTAGAGATGGCTTGATGGGTAGGAGCATGCACTGCTCTTGAAGAGGACACATTGGTTTGTCAGCTTCTAGGTCGGGTGTCTCACAACTCCCTGTAACTCTAGCTCCAGGGGGATCCAACCCTCTGGCCTCTGAGGGCACTTTACCCTTGTGCATAGACATAGACATATACACATAATTAAAAATAATAAGAATAAATCTTAAAAACAAAGTAAATCTTTTTTCCCTAAATGGAAAATGAAATAATTTATAGTCACACACAAGATCAAATGTCTAAGAGTAAATCTAGTCAAAGAGTTTTCAAAAGATAATAATAAACGTTACCAAGAGAGTCAAGACAGCCTGAGTTAAGCGGGGATTTTGCCACAATCCTGCATTAGAAGATGCAGTCATGGAAAGATGTCATCTCTCCCCAGATCAGTATATGCATCCAGTGCAGTGCTAATCAAAACCCACAGCTTTTAAAGAGGGAATTGAACAAACTGACAAAGTGATTCTCAAATCCATCTATGTTAATAGAATTGGCTGGCATCAGACAGGGCAACTATGGACAATGAGATAGGAATGTGAATGCATGTTTGGCTGGATGTCACTTATGCAAACATTGGAGGTGCTGGAGAGTTAAGAGCACTCACTGTTCTTTCAAAAGACCTGAGTTCTGTTCCCAGCACTCCACATGGAGCCCCACAGCCATCTGTGGCTCCAGTTTCAGGGGATCCAACACCCTCTTCTGGCCTCTGTAGGTGCTGCATGCATGTGCTATGCAGACAAAACACCATACACATAAAATAAAAATTAAAGAAAACAAAACTGTCAGGCAATGGTGGCACACACCTTTAATCCCAGCACTCTGGAGGCAGAAACAGGTGGACATCTGTGATTCGAGGCCAGTCTGGTCTACAGAGTTAATTCTAGGACAGCCAGGGCTACACAGAGAAACCCTGTCTTAAAAGCAAACAAACAAACAAAAGGAAAGAAAAGAAAAGTATTCTGATCATGAGAGGGGTCAAGGATGGTTAGAGAGGAGTGGGATGGAAAAAGGCCTAGAGGCAGCAGGCTCAGCATAGTTAATATAACAAAGTAATGTAAGAAGTAACAAAGGGAAACTCACTCTTCCGACTGGGCCAACCCTCATGCAAGTGGGTTTTGAGTCTGCTTGCTTTTTTTTTTCCAACTAGCTTCACTATGAATAATCTTTTTGGTGTTTTCCTTCCTTTTCAGTTTACTTACCTTCTTGTCACTGAGTCTAATCTATTCCTAAGTTTTCTCCTGTTGAGTTCTCAATTTTGCTTGTGTTATTCAGTTCTGAGATTTCCTTTTGGTGTGTTTCTGATCTGTGTTCTTTCTCTGAGATTCACAGTCCCGCCTTTTCCTCTCTTGAACTTGTAGACATGAGCATTCTTAGGGCCGTGCTCTGTCTCTTCTGTGGTCCGTTCTAGTTGTCCCAATGTGCCTGTTGGTTATCATTTGGATCATTTTGTCTGGTTGTGTACCTGGTAAATTATGTTACCTTATTTTTATTCTTTGTGTGAGCTCCTGTGAGTTCATGTCTGTGAAGGCCACACATTGATGTTGGGTGTCTTCTGAAATGGTTCTTCACCCTGCTTTTTAGATAGGGTCTCTCACTGAGCCTGGAGCTCACAGACTTAGCAGGACTCACTGGCTAGGAAGCTCCAGGGATCCTCTGTCTCCTCATCCCTACTGCTGGGATTATGGGATTATGGATGTGCATTGCCACACCAGGCTTTTTAAAAGTGGGTTTAGGGATCTGAACTCAGGTCCTCGGGTTTAGGGATTTGAACTCAGATCCTCATGATTTCATGGCAATCATTTACTGACTGAGCCATCTCCCCAGCTCCCCTGGTTATTTTCTATGTATTATTGTGTTTTTATATATTGCAGCGATCGCATGGGACCCAGGATGCTGTTGTACCAGGTATTGTTGTGAGTCAGGGTCATTGACATCAGTAGGAACTGACTGCTTGCTACAGTTACATCTTTTTTCAAATATTTTCTTTATTAGCATTTTATGTGCCTTGGTGTCGTTAGTGTGTGTATGTCTGTAGGAGGGCATCAGATCCCCTGGAACAGTTACAGGCAGGTGTGAGCTGCCATGTGGGTGCTGGGAATTGAACCCAGGTTCTCTAGAAGAGCCTCCGCACTCTTAACTGTGGAGCCATCTTTCCAGCCTTACTTTTTGTCATCTTGAGGCAGACATAGATACATCTGGCAAGAGGGAATCTTGGTTGAGGAACTAACACCAGATTGGTCTGTGGGGTGTTTTTTGTTTTTGTTTGTTTGATTTTTGATTGCTGATTGATATGGGAGGGCCCAGGCCTTGGCAGGCAGTACTGTCGCTGGGCAAGTGTCCCGGCATACATAAGAAAGGTAGCTGGCTGGGTGCAGTGATGTACACCTTTCATTCCAGCACTTGGGAGGCAGAGGCAGGCAGATCTCTGTGAGTTAAGACCAGCCTGGTCTAGTGAGTTCCAGGACAATCAGCATCGTGAGACCCTCTCAAGAAATAGAGAGAGAGAGAGAGAGAGAGAGAGAGAGAGAGAGAGAGAGAGCGAGCTGAGCTGGAGCCTGGGAGCATGAGAGTAAGAAGTGTTCCTCTGAGATCTCTCCTTGCGTTCCTGACTTGGTTTCCCTTGATGGTGCACTGTCTCCTCCTCTAAGCCAATGAAATTCTTTCTTCCTTGAGTTGTTTTTGGTCAGTGTTTCTCATAGCAACTGAAAGCAAACGAGCACTCTGCTATTCCTAGCAACAACCACCAAATATAAGTTCAAGCCTGGACTGGAGAGATGGCTCAGCAGTTAAGAGGACTGACTGCTCTTCCAGGGACCTCGGGCTCCATTTTCAGCAACCACATGGCAGCTCACAACTGTCTGTAGCTCTAGGATGCAACACCCTCACACAGACATACATGTAGACAAAACACCAATGCACATAAAATTAAATAAATAAATAGTTCTAGTCTGGACTCATGTCAGGATGCTTTTTAGTACATGGTGCTATGTATGTATTATGTATGTATGAATGTATGTATTATGTATGTATTATATAGGTGACTGCCATCATGAAAGTCCCCCTACCTCCTCGCTTTCCTCACAAACCATACTGGAGGTCAGTGGCAGATGTAACCATCACCACCCATGGCTTCCACAGAAATGTGGTCTGATTTCTAGAAACTTCTAACCTGCTTTTGAATAGAGGCTTCCTATAGGCGTGTTCTGAGGACAGGAATGCAGTAGACTTGTTGAATTGCTCGTGTGGACAGCCCAAGCCAGTGGGAAGGTCAGGGCCCTGGGTGCTTCCTCCCGCTCCTTGAGGCTTATCTGCTGCTGCAGTTGTGTGGGATTACTGGGAGTTTCAGAACCCCAGCATGGTGCAGGCTCAGTCAGGAAACTCAGCTAGTCACTGGGATGTGACCCCCTCGCTCATTTTTAACAGGCATGAGTTAAAAGTGCTGAGATCCAAAGAGTCAAAGTTACCACAGTGGTCTTGGCCAGGTCTCAGAGTGAGAGCCTTGTTGCTGATAAAAGATGCCTGGGCACTCACCATGGGGCTTCCGATGTACTTCCCGTTTACTTAGATAATATTATATATTCTGAGGTCTTTGATGAAGTTGAAGAATAGATAGTTATTATTATAGTTTTTCTTAGTTATGATAAAGGATAAAAGTAGATATAAATATTGTAACTGTAATTCTGTTTTGTTATATGTAATTTTATTATGTTAAAGTTAAAAACATTTCTTTTAAACAGATAAGGGGAGGTGATGTGGGATTTGCCTCTGTATGCTGTGAATACCATTGGTTAATAAAGAAACTGTTTTAGAACTACACAGGGAAGAATATAGGTAGGTGGGGAAAACTAATTTGAATGCTGGAAGAAAGAAGGCGGAGACAAGAAAAGCCATGTAGCCCTGCTGGAGACAGATGCCAGTACTTTACCCAGTAAGCCACAGCCTATGGCAATATACAGATTAATTTAAAATATAAGAGTCAGCCAGAAATATGCTTAAGCTATTGGTGAAACAGTATTGCAAAAAATATGGTTTCTGTGTAATTATTTCAGGTCTGAGCAGCCGGGAACAAACAAGTGACCTCTTACAATGGTCCCTGAAGAGGTCAGAAGGACTGTCCACCCTTGCTTCCCCACTCAGTGGAAGTCATTGTCATCCTTGTCCCCTCTCTATCACTCCCATCTCTGCCTCTGGGGTCACATGGCCTTGACCCTGAATCAGCATCCCGTATCCCTGTGCTTTTACCTTAGAGAAACACTTGTGATTGGATCTGAAGGCCATAGACAATGCAGGATGGTCCCCGGTGGGCAAAGTCCTTCACTTAGTCACACCAAGACCATTAACAGAAGAAAGGAAACTTTTATAGGTCCCAGGCAAAGGGGCCTTGAGTTTCTTTGGGCTAAGCTGGCCTGTGGCCATCTCTCCAGGATGATTGCCTGTCTGAACCAGCCTCCTTAATAATCTTTATTTTCTTCCTCCTGGACATATCATGGGTCTCCTTGTACACACCAAGAAGGTTTAGATACCCGTAACTTCTTACTGTCCCGAAAAAGGCTGCACAGATGGTGAAATATTACATGCCACGAGACAACATCTAAAGCAGGTATTCACCGCATACTAAGGACTCTTAATTAAACAATTTATAAACAAACAGAAACAATTCCAATTTTAGAATATAAGATCCTACTCAATAACAAAGAGAGAACTGCGTATAAAAATTGCAGCGTGCTTAACCCTACACAGGCCATTTACACCACTCTCCATTCCTTAGGCTCAGGAATCATTGCAGAAGGAAGAGTGGAAAGAATGTAAGAGCCAGAGCAGTGGATGACTACAAGCAAGCAGCATCCTCGGCTCACACCAGAGCTATTGCACATATGAACTCATAGTAGTTGTGATAGCATGCATAAGACTTGTGCAACCTCAAGTCAGACCAGTTCCCAGCTGGAGAGGAGAGGTGAGCATGAAACCCTGCCCCCTAGTTGAAGAGCTATTGGCAACTGACAGCTGCTGGGATAGGGAGAGTCAGATTTTAAGGGTGTGGCTCCTGGTAGGTTGACCACACCCCAGTAGGAGGTCACAAACCCAAGAGTATAGGGGTCACATAAACTGAAATCAATGGGTTTTATTTAAAATAAAAGCACAATGGTGGGTGGATAGGGAAGTAGGGGTATATATGATCAAAATATACCGTATGAAATCCTCAAAGAATTAATAAAAATATTTTTGAGACAGTGTCTCACTGTTTAGTCCTGGCTGGCCTAGAAGTCATTATGTAGACCAGGCTCATCAACTCACAGAGACCTGCCTGCTTCTGCCTCCAAGGGCTGGCATTCAAAGTATACACCATCACACCCAGCAAATAAATTTATGTATGTATATTTGTAACATCAAATTCTGTGACATGGAAAATCATAGGAGTTGAACCAAAAATTGAATCTTTTCTGATAGTCCATTCTCTCCCTGGGAGATAGAGATCTGAGATGGGGAGGAAGTGCTGGTCTGCAAGGTGATGACATTTGTCGCTGCTGTCCACACCACACCATGGGAAGCTGTTTATCCTGTACTGTTGATAATTCATGTTCTGCTTTTGTGTCACCTTGACAGTGTTACTGACATTGATACCCAGGAATTAGTCCATTAGACATGAGGGAAATAGTTCCCAGCTCGTGCTTTACAGATATATCCCATATGCCTCCGCAGCAGGTGGAGAAGTCCCCAGTGCCAGCAATCCTGAAGACAGCTGCATCAGTGTGTGGAGAGTCTGAGGCGCCTGCATGGCAGGCAGCACAGGAGGGGACCAGGTTCCCTTATGTCGAGCTCTGCAATGCCCATGGCTCACTGTGTGCTTCCTGGAGAAGTGAGAGGGCAAACACAACAGAGATCTCCTCCTAGGGGAGACCCGCCTCGGTGCTGGAGGAAGTTCCTCAGAACTTGCTCTTTAACATTCTCTATTCCTCCCTCCCTTCCTTTATTCCATCCTCCCTTCTTTACTCCCTCCATCCACCCATCATTCTCCCCTTTCTTTTTGTGTACATGTGTGTGCATATGTCTGTGAATCACACACGTGGTGTCCATGCACAAGTGTGGGTGTGAGGGCCAAGGTTGATGTCTTCCTAAACTACTCTCTGCCTCATTAAAATATTTTTAAGATTTATTATTTTATCTTATGTGTATGAGTGCATAAGTTGCCTGGGTGTAAATGTGTATAGGCCAGAAGAGGATGTCAAATCCCTTGGAACTGGAGTTATGCATGACTGTGAGATAACACATGGGTGCTGGGAATTAATCCTGGGTCCTCTGCAAGAGTAGTAAGTGCTTTAAACCGCTGAGCCACCTCTCCAGTTCCTCCACTCCGTTTTTGAGACAGGATGTCTCACCGAATCTGCAGATGACCAATTCGGGTAGAATGAGTGGCAGACATGTGCTAGGAATCCTCCTGGCTCTGTCTTCCCAACCCCGGGATTACGGGCATGCAATGTCACGCCCAGATTTTTACGTACATGTTGTGAATCTAAATTTAGTTCCTCATCCTTGTGCGACAAAACCTCTCACAGAGCTGCCTCCATCACTCTCCTCTGTTCCTCTCTGTCCGGTTCTCTCTGGCCTCTTGGCTGTCTGACTGCTGGGTTTTCATGTGTTCTCTGCAGACAGGAAGACTCAGGCCACCTGCAGTCTTTGGTTCCTCTTCTACGAGCCACAATCTGTTGATTTTCTGCAGCTTTCTCAGTTTCTAGAAAGCTGTGCCTGTGTCTCTCTCCATTTGCTCACTGGCAGCCATCCAAGGACATCGTCGGGATGCCGCTGCCCCGACTGCTGTTTCTGCTCTGGGTCTGCGAGTGGGCACCTGGAAAACACTTTCCTCTCCCTACGGTGTCCATGTTTACCTACGAGACATATAAGCTGGAACTGAAGTCCAGCGTAGTGAAAGTGCAGGAGGGTCTGTGTGTCCTCGTGCCCTGCACATTCTTTGAACATTCCGGGAACCGAAGCTCAGACAAGGTCTTTGGCTACTGGTTCAGAGCAGGGGCGAATACAGACCATGATTCGCCTGTGGCTACAAACAACCTAAATCAACTGGTGAAGAATCAGGGCCAGTTCCATCTCTCCGGGGACCCAAGGAACAACGATTGCTCGCTGGACATCAGAGATGTGCAGAGGACCGACAGCGGTTCTTACTTTTTCAGGATTGAAAAAGACTCCTTCAAGTGGAATTACTACAAGAATCAGCTCTCTGTGCAGGTGACAGGTAAAGTACTGGCTCCACGCTGGCCAGAGAGGAAGCTCGTGGGTGTCACAGAGCAGCTCTAGGATCCCGGCCTGAGAGTCACTGGGGATGGAGGAGAGTAACAGAGGAGTTGGGTGGGAGCCTGTGTCTCTCAATGGCTATCCTCCCTCATCTGATCCTGCATGTCTTTCTCTCCTCACCAGCCTGTGTCTCTCAATGGCTATTCTCCCTCATCTGATCCTGCATGTCTTTCTCTCCTCACCAGCCCTCACGCACACCCCCAACATCGACATTCCACAAATGCTGGAGCTTGGCGTTCCTAGCAATGTGACGTGCTCTGTGCCCTGGGCCTGTGAGCGGGGGACGCCTCCTATCTTCTCCTGGATGACAACTGTCCTCGCATCCCTGGGCCCCAGGACTACCCTCTCCTCAGTGCTGACCCTCACACCCAGGTTCCAGGACCATGGCACCAACCTCATCTGCCAAGTGGCCTTCCCTGGAGTCGGTGTGACTGTTCAAAAGACTGTCCAGATCAGTGTCTCCTGTGAGTTCAACCCAGGGCTGGGATTCATGGTGACGGTGTCATAGGCTGGGGACTGAGACAGACACAGTTCCTATACAGCTCAGATTCTGTGCTTTCTGGACAGTTGTGGGGAATAGGGCTGAAACCTGAGACTTTGTTTTTTTTTTTTTCCAAGATACTACACAGAACACCACAACCCATGCCCCTGGAGGAGCTGGTCCAGGTAGGGGGAGTCATCTTGGGTTGCAGGAACAGAATCTCTTTAGCTCAGAGCAGGGTCCATCCTTCCTTATCCTGGCTGCTCTTGTAGACTACCAAGTTTCAGTTCTCAGCACCCACATGGCAGCCTGAAGCTATGTGTAACTCTAGTTCCAGAGGGGCTGAAAGCCTCTTTTGGCTTCAGAGGGCATCAGGCACTCATGTATGCACATACACACATGCAGGCAAATAAAAAATATAAAAATTTTGAAAAGTTCTTTTTGTGTGCCCATTACTACCATATACAAACATGCTCTTCAGTTCTGTAATTCCTTGATATTTTCAATTGCAATTGTTGGTTTTGACTTTTGATGCGGAATCTTGCTATGTAACCTAAACTGACTTTGAACCTATGGTGCTATTTCTTCGTCCTTCTGAGTAGTGGGATTATAGACATCCACCATGCCTCTGTGATGGAAGGTTTAATTATGAAAGAAGAGAGTGATTTTTTTCTGATACATTGTTGGCAACAGGATGAGTCTCAGATCTGGGATACAGAAAGATTTGGAGGATCAGATCTAAGTTCTATGGAGAGAGTGGAGTCTGGGATTAGCAGGTAAATTCAGGTCCATCTACATTTCTTCAGGGATATCAGGGCCCCTGGCAGAGGTGGTTCTCGTGGCCATCGGGGAGGCGACTATCAAATTCCTGCTTCTTGGGTTCTGCTTCTTCTTCCTCAGGTGAGTGCTGCTCCTGGGGCAAAGTGGAGGTGCGATGAGGGCAGAGACACAGGACAGAATCTTAGATTACTAGTGCTGGGAGACAAGATGCAGGTCTTAAGGGATGGAATCCAGGCAGGGAGCTCCTGGGTATTGACCTCACCAAGCTGGAGCTGTCAAATGTGGCAGATGAGGGAGTGTACTAGTCAGAGTTCTCAAGAGAAATAGAATTGATGGATTGTAAGTACACTTACACACACACACACACACACACACACAAAGATATATATCTATATCTATATATCTATATCTATCTATCATCTATCTATCTATCTATCTATCTATCTATCTATCTATCTATCTATCTATCTATCTATCTATATAGAGAGAGACTGGATTTATTAGAGTGGATTACAGGTTATGGTCTCTGGTCTGACTCTTTCAACAATGCCTGTCTTCTGACAGAAAGTCCAGGAGTTCAACATTTGTTCAGTCCACAAGGCTGGATGTCTCAGCTGGTCTTCAGTATACACTGACATCCCAAAGAAGTAGGCTCTGATACCCATGAAGGAATGGACTTGCCAAGCAGAGTGAGAGCAAGCAGGCAAAGGGCAAGAGCTTTCTTCTTCCATGTCCTTTTTAGAGAGTGCCACCAGAAGGTGTGGCCGAGATTGGAGGTAGATCTCCCCATCTCGAAAGATCTGGATTTAGAGTGGGTCTTTCCACCTTAAATGAGTCAATCAAGAAAAATCCCCAACAGCAGTGCCCAGTCACTTTGCTTAATTTCAACAGCCTTCACAGGAAGAAGGCTGTCTCCCATGGCTGGGTCCTGCCATCTGGGTGTTTAGCTCCCTCCCAGCCACCCTTACAGCCCATGACTGGGGCTCAGGGGAGGTGACTGCTGTACCTGGTCCCCTTCATGCCCACATTGAAGGCTCTGGTCTCCTCACTCAGCATAAAATCCCAGAGGAAGAAAGTAGAGAGGCCAGCAACACAGGTGGACCACGCGGAAACTGCCATGGGCTAGTCTCTCAGGTGAGTGATGTGGAAGCCACCCAGCACTGGTATCCCTCGGGACTCTTTCCTGTGATGTACCAGGTATGGCCTGGCTTAGGATGGCCACTGGTGACCCGCTACCCTCCTCCCATGGTGCTCCTGGATCAGCAGCTCCATCTCTTTCCAGAACTAGCTGGGAATCTCTGCTGTCGCCTCTCTGAACCCCTCACCCCATGTCCCATACTGACCCAGTTATCCACCCAACCTTGATCATCCCTGAACTTTATCTTTCCCTGGCTGCTGACTCTTTCTCACCTCCTGCCTCTGTAGCAGGGCCCCAGAACCTAGTATACCTGACTCCATGATGGGACTACCATTCAGGCCATAAAACTCAGCACATTGTCAGCACCACCTACCAAAATTAAAACAAAGATCTAATCCATCAAAGTTCATAGTTCTAGGAAAGTTTCTAAAGGTGTTAACATTGCCTTTTAGCCTCTGCAATTCTGCTTCTAGCTAACTGTTCTTGTTAACCAAAGTATGTCAACCAAGAACAGTGTTTTGGGGCTTAAAGGCTCACACTGAGAATGTCTTGATGCTGCACTGGGATTCTGAACACCAAGTGTAGTCTCTGGTCAACTAATATAGATTTTTCTCTTAGTTTAAATCAAGTAGTCTGCTCTGGAAGGTATTCCCACAACATTTATGGAAGTTCTACCAAGATCCCCAGAGACTAGACTTTGAGATACTGGGGGTCTCAGAGCTGCCCCTCGAAATGAGAGAGTGTGGTGGCCAAAGAGCTCCTAGGGGGTACGCAACCTGAGTTCCAGGTCCGCAAGACTCTCTTGGATTAGTTACTGCCTAACACTTCAGAGAAGTTGGACACCTCCACTCCAAAATGAAACCAATGAGAAAGTCACCCTGCCTGTCACCAGCAGAGTTAAGTCTGCCTAAGGGGCCTTCTGTTTGGACACAGGACAGATCAGACATGCCTGCTGATTCAGTGTCCAGGAACCATGTGAGACGTCATTGGATTGTGGTGGTTACCCCTGGTGGTCCCCTCTCTCTCTCTCTCTCTCTCTCTCTCTCTCTCTCTCTCTCTCTCTCTTTCTCTCTCTCTCTCAGATGGGGAGGGTCTATGTGTTTTTGTCAGTTGTTTCTCTGTATTGATCAGTGGCTTTCTTTGGTGTGAGAATCCCCTGGCTTGAGACCTGTGGCCCTCTTGTTGGAGACCCAAATCCGTTTGTCTTTGTCAGGTTGCCCAGAGAAATATCCTACCCCACTCCTGAAAAAACAACCTCACCTGTCTGCCCCATTCCAGGACTGAGAGTGCTTGCTTGTTTTGTTGCTTGACTCCTGCTCAGTGTTGGTCCCTGTGGGGAGATGGAGGGGGCTGGGCCTCTCATCCAAAACACCTGCCATTTAGTACACAAGGAAAGAGAATATACTTCCCAGGTGACCATTCCCTCTGCTCTGTGCCTGCTCTAAGCAGCCCTAAAGAAGGGGAAGTTGCCCCTGAATGAGCCCCAAGGAAAAGAGGAAGCTCTGTTCCTTTCTCTTTCATGATTTATGTCTTCTTTTCAATTAGTGATCTGTATAGTTGGAAAACACCATTCTCTGAAAAAAGTAAAAAACCCAACCCTGGGCTAGACTGGGGGATCAATGCCAGACAGTGCATCTGAACAAAACAGATTTTTCCCTTATGACCAACACTGTCCAAGGAAACTTTAAACAATTTCCACTAGGTTCTTTTTAGAAGAATTAAAGACAAGTGCTAAAAAGATTTCTCTTGTCACCTAGTTGACTCCAGATATTAGAAAAAACTTATAAAAGTTTTAAAATGCTAAAAATATAAATAGGTCCCAATTGTAGGAGGTAGCTCAAAAGGTGTTTGACAACAAACAACTGATTGGGATGAGACCTTTAGTGTAAACCAAAAGCCACTGTCACCTTCTCTGTAATGAGACTCAGTTAGACTGACAGACACCCAGCAGAATTGTGGTGTCTTACCCTCCTAGCTGCAAGTTCTGCCTCCAGTCAAAAGATACAGTGGGTTATTTCTCAGATTGAAGACAAAGATTCCTGAGGTTATGGGTGGAAATCAACTCCCAGGACTGATCCAACACCAAGTTCCTAAAATTGTTCAGCTAACCAGTTCAGCTACTCCAGATTATAAACAATACCCAATGACCCTGGAAACGAAAAGGGAAATTGCAGTCCATGTTGCCTGGCTTGGAGAGATGGGCATCCTGGTGTCCTTTCTAGTTACCCTGGAATACACCTCTCCTACCTGTGATGAAACCTGAGTCCTCTGGTTCTCATGAGTCTGATTCTTCTAGAAAATCAAGTGTACACTGTCTTAGACATTAGCCTCCCACTGGCAGAGGTGAGTCAACCATGTTTGCTTTTACATAGACAGACCTAGAGGGGTGTTACAGCAGGCAGTATACTTGGACCAGGTTGTCCCAAGGATTTAAAGACACTAAATGTATTCCTCCTTCCCTTCTGTCAGGGATTTCCTAGGAAAATAGATTGTAAGGGGGCCACTGAGGGGCTGCCGCAAGAGTTACAGACATTGTGCTAGTGAATACCAACTAAGAAAGCCCAGCTCCACACATAAGAGGCTGCCGATCTTGAGTCCCAGTTGAGGGCAGGCAAAGGGAGCCTGTCTCAGAGTAAGATGCTGCCATCCTTCAGATCCCAGCTCCAAAGACTGAGACAGGCTTGAGAGTCACTAAGCGCAGCTAGGTTTTTCTGCTTCTGGATGCCAGAGTCTATGGAAATAGCAAGGGCTCTCTCTACACACCAGCACAAAGAGGGGCACTCATTGAGCCCCAAACCTGAACTGAGACCTACCAAAAAGCATTTGAGACTTATGAAACATTCCTGATGTCTGCTATAGCCCTAGCCCTTCCAGATGTCTCAAAAGATTTTCCATCTGTTTGCCCACAAACAAAAGACATTACAAAAGAGGTCTTAACCTACACTCTGGGGCCACGAAAATCTTGCTGTCCAACGAATGGCATGAAGAGCAGAGGGGCCTTCTTGATACTTTGATGACATACCCCAACCCAGTGCTGCTTGGGACTCCTTGATAAAGAAGAAACGGATGGTTCAAACCCAAAGGTTGATGGAGGACAACAGAGGGAAATAGCATTCTTCCAGAAACAATTGGTGGGACTCTGGGACTGACCTTTCTCAGGCTACTCGCCTGAGATTCACAGAGCAGTGTTGCTCAGACTAGCTAGGTTGTTATAGCTAGCTCAGGATGCCTCAGCCAGATTACAGTCTTGTGCCTAAGTAGATCCAAATCAGAGAACCCTTATCCAGGAAGGGTTCTGAATGAGAGACCAACACTGGTATGCTCTGAGAATACTGACTTCACAGTGATCATGCCAGGGGCAGATAAGAATACTTGCTGGTTTTTGTAGAAATCAGCCATCTTCTCTGGGTGGGTAGATGCATTCCCCAACTGGGCTGAAACTTCTCAGATAGTAAGTAGAAGCTTAAAAGCCCCTCCAAAGACTGGTTGCCTGATTTGGCCTACTCCTAGCCAACGAGACCTGACAGTGGCCTGGCTTTCAAAGCCAAAACTTCTCTGTTAATAGCTAAAGCTTTAGAAATACACTGAAAACTTCATTGTGCGTATAGAACTCAGAGTCCTGGGAAGGTAGGAAAAAAATAGGATGTTACAAAGAAAAAAAATAAAACTATAATGAAACTCTCTTGAGAGTCCAGAGAAGGGTGGATAGACCCCTTTCCTTGGCTTCAGACCTGCTGTACCCCATTAGGAAGGGATTTACCCCATGAGACTATATTTGGAAGACCTCCTCCACTGCTTCCCAGGCCCAGAGACCAGCAGTTGGTAGAACCTTCTAACCATTTTTTTTTCTAAAGTCACAACAGAACCCCCAGTCCTCCAAAGAGTGTATTTGCTGGGTTATCTGAGAGACCCAACTGGCCTCCAAGTACCAGTTGCTCCTTGCTGGAGTCTGCTGATACTCCCTGGTTCTAGCAGGTAGCCAAAGGGGCACTGGAACCACTTAGAAATGACCCTACAAGGAGATTCTCTTTATTCTTGTGGCTGTTAAGGTAGCCAGCATTACACAACGGATTCACCACACCCAGGTCAAGCAAGTAGAAGCCATGGATGATGATGCCAACTGGATTGTCTCTGGACTATGGACACATTAAAGGTTTCATTGGGCCCCAGGCCTTTTCACTCCCTGCCTCTCTACCTCCTCCTGAGTCTTATGCTTTGTTCTATGGGTATGAAGGGTATGAGTATAGAGTTATGGTCTGACCCCCACGGACCTCAGGTATGGACCTAGGACTGAGAAAGACAGATACAGGATATGTCTTGGCTAGTTGACTATAGGCCAGCAAACTATATTCATCTTGACCTTTGCTCGCTGATCCCCACTTTATTGAATTGAATTGGTTGTATTGAAACAAAGCAAAGATATGGGGGATTATCTTTTGAGATAGAAATACTGAGTTTACAATTCTATGCATGCCCTAAGGCTGGGCCCCTTAGATGCCAGGAACAAAGGTTTTTCCAATTCAAAAACTGTAGTTAGAAAAACCTGAAAAATCCTTTTAAAAGATTCTGGTCTTTGGAAAACTTGGGGGATCACTCTATACCATAGGAAGGGACCCTGGGAATAGAGTTATTCATTCCCAGCCAGAAATCAGCCAGGATTGCTAGTTATGCTTAGATACCCAGCTCCCATACTACATAGGAACTAACCAGCCTGTCAGCTTATTGAATGACAACTCACTGTGACTGGGGACCACCCAAATTATGGGGACTTACAAGAGACTAAAACTTATCTACTATTCCTGAATCTTTAACCTAGGCAATTTCCTTTATTCTGACACCTGCTATTCAGCCTTGTGGGTTAACACATCCGGACACCAAGCCCCTGAGACTAATTGGTAGGCACATACCAATGATTTGACTAAATGTGCCCCTTCTAATGCTTTCCAAACTAAGTGACAGGTTGATCAGGATCTAGAGGTTTTAAACAGCTCTGTTTCTGGACTAAAGCTACAGTAATATACAGTTAGATACTGAAATGGTCCTAAAACACTGGAAGGGCTTCGGCTTACTGTTCCTAAGATAAAGGCAACAATAAATAGCTTTGGAAGAAACCTGTTGTTCCTATGCTAATTAATCAGGAATAATTAGGAAAAAATCTCACTGTGGCTAGAGAGGAAAAAGACTCAAAAAGAGAAGAGACACAGACAAAAACCAAATAATTGACACAAGTCTGTTCTCCTGGTTTGCCCCCCACCCCCACAGCAGCTCTCCACTCTCAGCACTGGCTGGGTCTCTACTTCTGATTGGATTAACACAGGGGCCCTGCATCTTAAACTAAAATAGTATGAGTTCACACTTTGACTGATTCATTAAGACTGCTGGAGAATGTGACAGGGCCCCAGACCTTACCACAGCTGATTTCTTGAGGAGTACCACTCAGGCCGTAAAATTCAGCATTGTCAGTACCACTGACCAAAACAAAAATAAATACCTAGTCTATCCAAGTCCATGCCTTTTGGCTTCTGTAATTTTGCTTCTGCTAATTCTTGTTAGCCAGAGTGTGCCAACCCAGACCAGTATGTCTGTGCTTCAAAGCTCACACTGGAGAAAGTTCAGTGTTACACTGGGATTGCAAATACCCAGGGTACCTGCCAGCCAGCTAATAAAGATTTTCTATTAGCTTAAACCCATGCCCAAGCAGTCTTCTCTGGTGGATACCCCACAATACCTTCGTGTCTTCCTAGTACCGGCTCCAGGATGTACTTGTGGATGCAGCTGTCACCCTCTCCCTCCATGGTCTGAGTACTTTGTGTTCTTGCCATGGATAGAGACTGAAAACCATGACAGCTTGCACTGGGGGCCTCATGGTGTCTTCACCCTGAGCTCCCCCATCCTTCATGATGATCCTGTCACCCTGCCTACCCTCCTGCACCAGAGACTGTGCCTGTGCTGGGCCCACTCCTCAATACCCTTCCACCTTCCTCAGGCTCGGCCTGCATGGTGTGGGAGGTTCTTCTGCTATGTGTTGCTTTTATTGGTTAATGAATAAAGAAACTGCTTTGAATCTATAGCAGGGCAGAACAGAACTAGGCAGTGAAAACTAAACTGAATGCTGGAGAAAAAAGGCAGAGTTGTGAGATGCCATGTAGTTATCAGAAGAAAAAGACACCAGCTGACAGCTGGAACCTTACCAGTAGTCTATGAGCCTCATAGTAAAATATGAAATAATAGAAATGGATTAATTTTAGATATAACAGCTAGCTAGCAATTCACTCAAGCTATTGGCCAAACAGTATTGCAAATAATAAAGTTTCTGAGTGATTATTTCAGGCATAAGCTGCCATGAATGAACGAGAAGCCTCTGCCTATGTCTGTGTGTCACTTTGGGTGATGAGGGCTTGTGATGCACACAGGGCTCTGTGTAGGAGTGACACCAGACACTAACTGTGCACTTTCTTGGTGAATAATACTGAGTTCCTTCCAGGAACTAGCACTTTTGTAAGGGCTAGAGATGCACCACCATTTCTGTCAGGAAGAAATTGTCAAACTCATTATCATAACTGGAATGAAAAAGTAAACACAACTAATTAGGACAAATCAGGGGATGATGGGTGAAGTTCAGAAAAATCATGCAGGAGAGGGCCTGGTGACTGGGGTCAGTCTTCTAATCTGAAGGCATCAGGGGTGATTGCAGGACTAAAGATGTCTGGTGCATTTCCTGGAGGGAAGTGCACCAGGGGGAAAGACAGTGCAATGGCTTAGAGGCAGAAACAGCTTGCTTAGCTCAACAGGTTGTGTGGGGACCTGCGTTTGGTTCATCATGTCACCCATAGAAAAAGATGGTTGTTCAGAGCAGAGAATGGCAGGATGCCATACGAAAGGACTTCAGGGTGAGGCAAGAATGTAAAGCCCTTGATGAGAACAAAGATATATGCATTTTCACCTTAATAGGCTTCTATGGCTGCCCTGATGAGAACCACACAAGGCAGATTGTCTTAGGGTTCCTATTGCTGTGAAGAGACATCATGATCGTGGCAATTCTTATAAAGAAAACAGTGAATTGGGGTGGCTTGCTTACTGTTCAGAGGTTTCATGATGGGGCACGTAGGGGTGTGATAGCAAACGTGGTCCTGGCTACATCTTGATCAGAAGGCAGCAAGAAGTTGACTGACATCGGGTGATAGCCTGAGTATATGAAATCCCAAAGTCTACCCCCACAATGACACACTTCCTCCCACAAGGCCACACCCACTCCAACAAAGTCACACCTCCTAATATGAGATTGTGGGATTATGGGATTATGGGGGCCACACAAACTACCACACAGATCCTAGGGCTGCAAAGAGAAGGGTATGTCCATAGGTTTTTCACCACTGTGACAAAACACCCGAAGGCTGAAAGGGTTGGTATGAATTAGGGTTTGAGTTCGCACTATTGTTTGGCTCTATTGCTATTGGCCGATGGTGACAGAGTACACTACGGGGCAAATGCATGTTGAAGGAGGTCTGCTCTTCTCATGGTTGCTGGGAGGCAAGGGAGAGCAAGGTTTGGGGGAGGGACCACTCCATACTCAGACTTTACTTAAGGAGAAGGAGCTGCTGCATCTTAGAGGAGGTGATGGTGGCCTGAACCAGGCAGGTCCTATGTGTGTTAATCCATGTGGAAGGTCAGGAGAAGGGATTTTAGATGTCATGTGTGTATGATGGGGCATTCACTTGCTTAGCTGAGCAGTCTTGCATTTTGAACCAATTCCATTTATGTATTTTAGCTTATCCTGTTCTTGGGGTACGGGTAGGTCATATTCAAGTTTTACTAATCCGTGGTCCAAACCTGCCATTTGTTCTCCAGTGGTATTTGTAGGAGGTTTTTTTGTTGTTGTTGTTTTAAAAAAAGTGATGGGTTCATTTCAAAATGAAAATGCCTTGAGCCAGTTTAAGTCTAGCTACAGGTGAACAAAAAGATTGGTCCCCTGCTATAGTGTGGTAGTCTACCCACCCCAACCCAAACTAAAAGAATAGAGCAGAGAGTTACTAACAGCCAAGCTTGCCTGTCACCTGCAGATGTGACAAGGTCATGTGCCCAATAAGCTTTCAAATAAACAGGATGGTCGTGAACGACCTGGCTTCACCATGCTGTGTTTTACCCACAGGCACAGTGGTTGCACCTCAATCTACTGCTATTTCAGCCAGCAATTGCTGCTTGGGCTGCAGTCTAGCGGGATTCTGTTCCCACAGGAGCTGCCTCTGCTGCTGCCACTAAAGGTAGCTTTAACTAAATCTCTACCGTTCTTTCTATTAATAAAACTCGAGACTAAAAGGCTGGGGTAATACCCTGCTAGCTCAAAGAGGTTGAGTGGCATCTAGTTAACCTTCTGTCATTGCTAGTATCTTCCAAAGGGCCTGTTCTTATGCTCAGGAAAGCAAAAACAAAGATAAACGTGCGCCACTCAAAACCCCTTGCTACTATTTCTGGTGAGTCTCTCTCTCTCTCTCTCTCTCTCTCTCTCTCTCTCTCTCT